GTTTTGAAACACTGCTCTAATAACACAAACGTGGGACTTTGTCCCAATGCTCTTACATTGCTCATTCCTCAATGTTCTTCCTCATGCTTTCCTACTCTCCTCTCTCATTCCCTCCCATGCCAACACCAGACTATTCTGGTCACAGAAGACTGGACAGGTCAAAGCTAACTAAAGCACCCTTTGATACTCACTCTTTGGTTTTCTCTAGACATCTGACCAGCTCTAATTCTATACATCTGACCCTGTGCCATCTCACCCCGCCACCCTCCAACAATATAATCCTCTCACACACACACACACCCTCCTTGTCTTATATTGCCATCATATAAGCCCCCTCATACACACGCATACACACACACACCGCTCCTCTCTTATAGCTCGTCGTGTGTGGTCTCGTCGGCCTTCAGTTTGAACTCGTCCTCTGTGATCTTTCCGTCTCCATTACGGTCCTGGTTAGAAAACATGTTCTCGATGATGCGATATGCGTCGAACCCAGGTGCCAGACGGCCTTTACCCTCATTCACCTGACGCAGGATGTAGTCTGAGAACTGGACAGAGGGATGGGGGAGGGAGGGAGGGAGGGAGGGAAAGGGGTGGGTCGGTGTAGAGAGAGGCAGGGAGAATTGGGAATTTGTTAGTCAGTTGCCTCAGTTAATCAACTTGATTGTCTCCTCTCTTCCTGAACTGATCGAAATGAACCTGGGAGGGGTGAAATACAAAACATTCCTTCTGTAGGCTTCTCTTCCACCATATTTGCTTTCACTTGTCTTGTGTTTATAGATCAGTGCAGATTGAAGGAGAGAGACAATGAGAGGAGGCTATTTAAGAACTACTGAGATTCAGCCATACGCTGTCCAGTTGTCTTCAATCAGAGCAGATGAAGGAGAGGAGGTGAGATGCAGGAGGATCCACAGTGTCATGTGTATGTCTATTAGTGTGTAGCTGAGGGCAGGGTTAAGCTGTGATGCGTACCTCTGAGGCCAACACCTGTAGGTCCTTGTCGGCGTCCATCTCAGTGAAGAGGTCAGCTGATACGTCCTCGTTCCAGATGAACATGTAGCCATCGGGAAGTCCCGCCTCCATCTCAATCATCTCAATGTCGAAGATCAGGACAGCACTGGCCGGGCACTTCACCATCTATAACACACCATTGGACGTGAATGGGTTCATAACAGCTAGTGCACTAGTTTGTGTGTGTGCTTGTCTGTGCCTCTGTCTGTGTCTGTGTGTGTGTGTTTGTATGTGGGGCGTGTGTGTAACTCACCCACTCCCCTCTCTCCGTAGCCCAGATGAGGAGGTATGACCAGGTGTCTTCTCTCTCCAACACATCTCCTTCAGCCCCTCCTCCATCCCTGGAACCACCTGGTTGGCTCCCAGCACAATGTTATACGTCTTCCCATAGTTATACCTGGAGAGAGCAATAGTTACAGTGGGGGAGAACAAGTATTTGATACACTGCCGATTTTGCAGGTTGTTCCTACCTACAAAGCATGTAGAGGTCTGTAATTTTTATCATAGGTACACTTCAACTGTGAGAGACTGAATCTAAAACAAAAATCCAGAAAATCACATTGTATGATTAAGTAATTAATTTGCATTTTATTGCATGACATAAGTATTTGATACATCAGAAAAGCAGAACTTAATATTTGGTACAGAAACCTTTGTTTGCAATTACAGAGATCATACGTTTCCTGTAGGTCTTGACCAGGTTTACACACACTGCAGCAGGGATTTTGGCCCACTCCTCCATACAGACCTTCTCCAGATCCTTCAGGTTTCGGGGCTGTCGCTGGGCAATACGGACTTTCAGCTCCCTCCAAAGATTTTCTATTGGGTTCTGGTCTGGAGACTGGCTAGGCCACTCCAGGACCTTGAGATGCTTCTTACAGAGCCACTCCTTAGTTGCCCTGGCTGTGTGTTTCGGGTCGTTGTCATGCTGGAAGACCCAGCCACGACCCATCTTCAATGCTCTTACTGAGGGAAGGAGGTTGTTGGCCAAGATCTCGCGATACATGGCCCCATCCATCCTCCCCTCAATACAGTGCAGTCGTCCTGTCCCCTTTGCAGAAAAGCTTCCCCAAAGAATGATGTTTCCACCTCCATGCTTCACGGTTGGGATGGTGTTCTTGGGGTTGTACTCATCCTTCTTCCTCCTCCAAACACGGCGAGTGGAGTTTAGACCAAAAAGCTCTATTTTTGTCTCATCAGACCACATGACCTTCTCCCATTCCTCCTCTGGATCATCCAGATGGTCATTGGCGAACTTCAGACGGGCCTGGACATGCGCTGGCTTGAGCAGGGAGACCTTGCGTGCACTGCAGGATTTTAATCCATGACGGTGTAGTGTGTTACTAATGGTTTTCTTTGAGACTGTGGTCCCAGCTCTCTTCAGATCATTGACCAGGTCCTGCCGTGTAGTTCTGGGCTGATCCTTCACCTTCCTCATGATCATTGATGCCCCACGAGGTGAGATATTGCATGGAGCCCCAGACCGAGGTTGATTGACCGTCATCTTGAACTTCTTCCATTTTCTAATAATTGCGCCAACAGTTGTTGCCTTCTCACCAAGCTGCTTGCCTATTGTCCTGTAGCCCATCCCAGCCTTGTGCAGGTCTGAGTGAAGAACAGGAGGGCTTCTTAAAGAAAAACTAACAGGTCTGTGAGAGCCGGAATTCTTACTGGTTGGTAGGTGATCAAATACTTATGTCATACAATAAAATGCAAATTCATTACTTAAAAATCATACAATGTGATTTTCTGGATTTTTGTTTTAGATTCCGTCTCTCACAGTTGAAGTGTACCTATGATAAAAATTACAGACCTCTACATGCTTTGTAAGTAGGAAAACCTGCAAAATCGGCAGTGTATAAAATACTTATTCTCCTCACTGTAGAAGTGTGTGTGTGTGTGTGTGTGCGTGTGTAGAAGTGTGTGTGTGTGTGTGTGTGTCTTCATACTCACGTGGAGTCGATGAAGGATCCATCCATGAGCGAAGCGTTGTAGTGGTATTTAACAAAGTCTCCTTTCTTAGCCAGCATCTCACACACCTCTGGTTTATAGTTGGTAGTGATCACCACTGTGTCTGATGGGTTGTGGAAATCTATGATATGGATATCAAACACCAAGACAGCAGAACCTGGGATCTTAGTACCTGGTGGGGGAGAGGAGGAGGAGGAGGGAAGGGAGAAAAAAGAGGAAGAGATGATGAAATCACCTTTCTATAAACGATGGTACACTGAAAACCTCAACACACACACACACACACACACACACACACACACACACAAACACACTATTTTATAAACATACCTGTGCCCTCCTCTCCGTATCCGAGGTGAGGTGGGATAGTGATGCGTCTTTTCTCTCCAATGCAGACTCCGATCAGACCCTCGTCCATCCCACCAATCACATAGCCCTTACCCACGTAGGTGTCATATGTATGGTTACGGGAGTAGCTGTGGAATACAACAGAGGACAATAATCATATGTACAGAATTAAATACGTTACAAACAGCTGCCAACACAAAACATTTGCCTACTCAGGAATTCTTCATTTGACATTTCTAAATCTAACTCTAAGTTCTAGATTCTAGATTCTACACCCTATTCAGTCTGAACTTACATTTACTAGTTTTCAAGTAAGATAAGAGTGCCATTTTTATTTTACTGTTTGGATTCATTCAGTAAATCAAGAGAAACTCATTTGTCTATCTAGTTTAGTTTACGGTTCTACTGCCACCTTGAGGACAAAATAAGAATTACAGATAAAGGGAAAACAATGCCCAAAGGCATAAGGAATCATTTTTTATATACACATTTATGAAGTCACACACACACACTCTCTGTCTCTCTCTTCCTCACCTGGAGTCGAAGAAGGTCCCATCCAGTAGTGATCCGTTATAGTGGTATCTGATGAAGTCCCCAGCAACACTCTTCCTGTGGCAGGGTTGAGGTATGTCCTGGTTGGTGATACTGACGCCGTCTTTAGGGTTATGGAGGTCTAGGAGGACTACATCAAATACCAGGGAGGCCTGCTGTGGGATATCACTACCTAGAGAGGGAGAGAGGGATGAGATGGAGGGATGGATGGAAAGAAGGGGAGGAGAGATTAGATAGGAGGGATACACTGATTACATCTCTAGGGTTATGGAAGTTCAGTAGGACCATGTCAAATACCAGGGATATCACTACCTAGAGAGAGAGAGAGAGAGATCAAGGGAAAGAGGGATCAAGGGAGAGAAGGTTACACTGATGATGCCATCTCTGGTCCAATAGTACTAGAGAGGCCTGGACTGGGATAACACTCAGAAAGAACTCCAGCACCTACTAACCATCGCCGTTTGATCCGTATCCTAGCGACGGGGGCATGGTGATGATGCGTTTCTCCCCGACACACATGCCCAGAAGCCCCTGATCCATGCCAGCGATCAGCCAGCCAATCCCCACGTAGGTGTCATAGGTACGCATACGGGTGTGGCTACAGGAGAGGGAGAGGGGGAAGAGAGTGAAGGGAGAGAGGAGGGAAATGGGGAGAGAATGAGAAAATACTTATTAGAGGACTACAAACACAGCAGACATTTATTCATTGGAAATCGTCCAAATGTAACCCTCCTCTCCTCTATCATCATCCCTCCTTGCAGGGCCTCTCTTCATCCCTCTCCCTGTGTGTAGATGTCTTAGTAGTGTGTAGTGTGTGTTATTAGTGTGTATTGTGTTTATAGTTGTAGTGTGTTTTGGTGTGTGGTGTGTAGTAGGGGTGTATGTGTGTTAGTAGTGTGTGTAGGTGTGTTGTTTTTAGTGTGTGTTAGTAGTGTTGTAGTGTGTGGTTAGTATAGGTGTGGTAGTGTGTGTTAGTAGTAGTGTGTTAGTGTGTGTTAGTGTTGTAGTGTGTTGTAGTGGGGGGAGGGGTGTAGGGTGTGTAGTAGTGTGTAGGTTGTGTAGTGTGTGGTGTGGGGGGTTGTTTATGTTGTAGTGTGGTTAGAGTGGAGGTGTTAGTTGTAGTGTGTGGTCGTGGGTGTTAGTAGTGTGGGGGATTGTGTGTAGTGTGTTAGTTAGTGTGTAGTGTGGTGTTAGTAGTGTGTGTTAGTGGTGTGTGTAGTGTTGTTTGTGTAGATGTGTGTTAGTGTGTGTATGTGTGTGTGTTGTAGTTGTAGTGGTGTTGTTGTGTGTGTGTTAGTGTTGTGTGTGTAGTTATGTGTAGTGTGTGTTAGTAGTTGTAGGTTGTGTGTTTTAGTAGTGTTGTTTATGTTTGTTGTGTGTTAGTAGTGTGTAGTGTGTGTTAGTAGGTGTGTTTGTAGTGTGTGTGTTGTGTTAGTGTTGTAGTTGTGTGTTAGTAGTGTGTGTGTGTTAGTAGTTTTGTGTGTTTGTGTTGTAGTTGGTTGTTAGTTAGTGTGTAGTGTGTGTTAGTAGTGGTTGTAGTGTGTGTTGTTAGTTGTAGTGTTGTGTTGTGTTAGTTGTGTGTGTTAGTGTTGTGTGTGGGTTAGTTAGTGGTGTGTTAGTAGTTTTTGTGTTTGTGTGTTTAGTAGTGTTGTGTGTTAGTGTTTGTGTGTTAGTAGTGTGTGTGTGTGTTAGTAGTGTGTAGTGGTGTGTTAGTAGTTGTATGTGGTGTTGTGTTAGTAGGTGTAGTGTTGTGTTAGTAGTTTGTAGTGTGTTAGTGTGTGTTAGTATGTGTGTAGTGTGTGTAGTAGTTGTTATTTGGTGTTGTAGTTTAGTGTGTGGTTTGTGTGTTAGTAGTGTTGTAGTGTTGTGTTAGTGTTAGTAGTTGTGTGGTTTAGTAGTGTGTAGTGTGTGTGTAGTTAGTGTTGTGAGTGTGTGTGTTGTATGTTGTAGTGTTTTGTGTTAGTAGTGTTGTTGTGTAGTGGTGTGTTAGTAGTGTGTAGTGTGTGTTAGTTGTGGTTTGTTCATTGACAACTTATCTCATGTCTCACCTGGAGTCGAACAATGTTCCGTCCAGCAGTGTTCCGTTGTAATGGTAACGTACGTAGTCCGACACCTCTACCTTCCTAGAGCAGTTCTCAGGGGTGTAGTAGGTCTTAATCTGAACCCCATCGTCAGGGTTCCACACGTCCAACAACAGAACATCAAAATGGAGGATCGCGTCTGAAGGGATGACATCACCTGGAGGAGTAAGGGAGGATGACATTAGTTACACTCGTTCATTCTCTCATCCTGTCTCTCTCCACTTTCTTTCTCTCATTGTTAGACTAGACAGATGAACATGGAATTATCTCTTTGAAGAAGGCAATTAATCAGAGATTATAAACCATATAGGCCACAGACATTGTCATGAGGGAGGGAAGATGAGAGGAGGGGAAGAGGAAGGGAGGAGGGGAGAAGGAGGGGTAGGGAAGTTGAGGGTGGCTGTGATTAAATCCATACTGGTGAGTTGGCAGTTGTACTCTCTGCTGGCAGAGACTGTGGCCATGTCCGAATAACCCATCCTAGTGTACTACATACTTAAACTGCATACTCATTTAGGTGTTTGATCTAGTAGAATTCACTCGTCTTTTCCGACTCAGGTGTTTGTCAACAACTGATAATTAGATAAATTGACGTGCTGTACTAAAAGGAAAGAATGGCGGGAGTCAACGCCATCACGCATTAGATGACGCATTCGGAGTACTATTTTTGAAATTTCACATACTATAACACTATCTGTTTTTAGTATGCTAGTATGGGTATTCGGACACGGCCTGTTTCTCCCTCCATCTCCCTGACACACTCTTCCTTTCTCCCTCTCTTTTCCACATACAAATCTATAAAGTAGACACCTACATTTATCTGTCCATACATGCCACCCCCTCTCTCTCTTTCTCTCTTCCTTTCTCTCTCTCTATCTCACTTGCTCTCTCTCTCTTTACCAGTCTCTACATGCCAAGTAAGGCCACACATTCCTGTTTTAATCTCTCCTCATGTAAAATCAACCAGTCTGCTTGGTGACCTCTTTATTCATACTAACACACACTAATACACACACACTCATTTCGGTGTTTGATCTAGTAGAATTCACTCGTCTTTTCCGACTCAGGTGTTTGTCAACAGCTGATAATTAGATAAATTGACGCGCTGTACTAAAATGAAAGAATGGCGGGAGTCAACGTCATCACGCATTAGATGACGCATTCGGAGTACTATTTTTGAAATTTTGAGGAAGGCCCTCAAAATTGTCATAGACTCCAGCCACCCTAGTCATAGACTGTTCTCTCTGCTACCGCATGGCAAGCGGTACCGGAGTGCCAAGTCTAGGTCCAAAAGACTACTCAACAGCTTCTACCCCCAAGCCATAAGACTCCTGAACAGCTAATCATGGCTACCCGGACTATTTGCACTGCCCCCCCACCCCATCCTTTTTACGCTGCTGCTACTCTGTTAATTATTTATGCATAGTCACTTTAACTCTACCCACATGTACATATTACTTCAACTACCTCAACTAGCCGGTGCCCCCGCACATTGACTCTGCACCGGTACCCCCCTGTATATATAGCCTCCCTACTGTTATTTTATTTTACTTCTCTTTTTTTCTCAACACTTTTTTTTGTTGTTGTTTTATTTTTACTTTTTTTGTTAAAAATAAATGCACTGTTGGTTAAGGGCTGTAAGTAAGCATTTCACTGTAATGTCTGCACCTGTTGTATTCGGCGCATGTGACCAATAACATTTGATTTGATTTGATTTGACACACACAAACTAATACACACACACATACTAAAGCACAAACACACTCCTAATGCTGTGTATGTAACTGTGGGTAATGCCGAAAAAGCCACAGGTCTGGGCTGTGTTGTCTGTCTCACTGTGAATGAACGGCACTCCTACAACACTAAAGCAGAGTTCACCTCTATGTGTCAGTTCAAGAGGGTCAACAGATTAATCTGTCTACAATAAGGGTTTGTTCATGTCAAAAATCAGGCCACCATGCAGCGTACAGTAACATTAACAAGCAGCACTTCCTGGTCTGTGATGTCACTGTGACCTAATTTAACATAGACCACCCACTTCCTATCAAGCTTGCATTAATGCTTGGTGTTTATGAACACATCAGAACAGTAAACACCAGCTTCTACACACACACACACAGACCTACAAACACACAAACACACACAGATCCAACCGCCCACACACACTGCTACCTGTGCAGCTGAGCTATTAATCAAACAGACAAGAGACAACAATGTATACAACCATGTTATAAGCTATGTTACAGGCTATGTTATAAACTATGTTATTAGCTATTTTTATGTTATACGCAAAACACACAGGTTACAGGTAGAACTGGTAAGTATAATATAGTTATTGATTGGTTATAGGGGAGGAGTTGAGATGTCTTTGCTCCCAAACCTCAATTATAATCTAAAACTCCATTATAAACTGTATATTCATGTTATAAGCTATGTTATAAACTATGTTATGAGCTTACCGTATCCTTCCTTCCCATAGGCCAGTTGTGGGGGGATCTTGACCAGTCGTCTCTCGTTGACACACATACCCACCAGAGCTCTGTCCATCCCTTCAATCAGCTGCTTCTTACCCACATACACATTGTAGGTGCTGCTGCGATCATAGCTGCAATACACACACATTATGGGAGCTGCCAACATCTCAACCAAAATAAGACAGAAAGAAAGACAAGAAACAAGGAAAAAAACGTCATTCATTAATGTATTCATTCATGTATTCATTCACTCACTCACTTCACTGATTCACTCACTCTGTCATTCAGTCATGTATCTCTCTGTCCAGACAGTAGTACTTGGTTGGCTGTGGTGAGACTGTGGTTAACATGCCGCATCACTAGGCCTAGCCTACTACACTGGCCAACTGCGTCTCAGTTCTGCCACGCACATTAACTAATGGGCCTACTGGTCTCCTTCTCCTTCTGCCCAAGGGTTTACATTAATGAATGTTTTTTACGTGATAACTCTGCTGGCCATGCGTGACATACACTCACACACCAGTAGGTTATAGGCTACCTGTGTGTGCACGCCCTAGAGCAGGACAGGAAGGCCTATATGTGTACATCCTTGCAGTATGTTAACGGGCCACATATTATCACCCAGTGTATTTAGTAGCAGAATATAACTGTTTTATCTGTATTATAAATATATTTTCAGTAAGTATTTAGTTCAGACTTGGAGACTGCAGGCAGTCTCTCTCTCTCTCTCCCTCTCTCAGTGAACGGGGGCTCTCTTTCTCGCTCTGCTTGCGTGGCTGTTTGGGCCGACCGCTAATAAAACGCACACTTTAGTTTATTGACGTGCACGCTACTCTCTGCAACGACAACAGCATGCAGGAACTACAGGAGTGGAGAAGAGTGGAAAATAAAAACTTTCTTACCTGGAGTCAAATTTCTTTCCATCGGGGAACATGCCGTTATAATGGTAACGGACATAATCCCCTACTTTCACGGCGCGCACGCACTGCTCCGGCACGAAAGTTTTCTCAATCACGATGTCATCTAACGGTACCGGAGGGGCGTCACAGGCGGCGAACGCCACCAGAACCGCCAGATATATCATCCCGTGCACGCACTGGTTCATCTTCATACGCCTCTCCTTTACCGACAAAAAGTAGGGTGGATAATAGTAACTTGTAATGGTTGTTATCGCTCTCTTTCTATTTTTCCCGGATTGTTCCGGTTCCTCTGGTCTTCTTCGTCCAGTTATTTTCTCCTTCCCTTGATCCCTGTCTGTTCGGGAATGGGAGGATTTGGGTACCACGTATGGCGCAGGCGCAGTAGCGCACAGCAGATGTGTAGACGTGGAAACGCCAAACCGAGGGCCTATAGTCACAGCTTGAGACCAAATAAACTACATCACCACCGCAAGACCCCCACAAGACCAACAAACACAAACTACTACTGTAGAATTGGCCTAGTTTCCATTCATTCACACATGTAGCCTATAGGCTACAGTCTATAGGGCTATTACGCAAGGCTTGGCTATGGGGTGGTGGTGGGACAGTGTCTGAGTTTATTTCAGGGGGTGTTTCTGTGTGTCTCTCTCTCTCTGGAATGTCTCGACGTGGCAGGAGAGGGGGAAGGCTGTAGGCTACAGAGACAATCCTAATTTGTGGGTGATAGGCCTATACACGAATATACACGTTTTATTGAATATAACCAACACTTTTATAAAACATACATAGCCGAACATAAATATAAAAAATATACATTTTTTTAAATAGACATACACAGCAGACTTTAAACTGCAGACTCTCTCCAAAGTCTACTACAGAACAAGCAGTTTCACTAGGCTACTTCTCATTGTCGCTGCGTCAGATTAATCACATTACATTGGGGGGCCAGTATGAAAAATATACAAATAATGTATGCACTAACTGTAAGTCGCTCTGGATAAGAGCGTCTGCTAAATGACTAAAATGTAAATGTAAATGTGTGGCCATTTGGCATCTGGTTTGGAGTGCCACCAATGGAAAACACTCCTTAACTTGATCTGTAACTTTGCCAATCATTTACATGTAGTTTGATGTAAACTAGTGCATTTACACTAAATTGATGTAAGCTAGTGCAGTGTAAACTAGTGCAGTGGTCTGGTTTTCCCAACCCGTGTTACTCGCAGATATCTCTAGAACAGCACTGATTTAGGGGGAGGTGCACCGAGCCCCGGTGGTTCGCCACCCCCTCACCCCGTCACCCTGCCCAGAGTAGCCAGGGGAGGGAGAGTTGTGTCCGGATACGTGGTGGGGGTAGAGGCGGTCCCTGTCCCACCCACACACTGCACAGAGAGCAGAATAGAGTAGAGACGTTGTTTAGCCCAGCCGTCCCACCTCTACCCAGAAACTAAAGATGGCAACCTCCAGCACTCCGCTAATCTCTCTGCTTCTATTCGCGGTTTCCGTTACAATAGTCTTCTGTCAATACGAGAAATACAGCTTCAGGAGTTTTCCGCGTCATGAACTAATGCCGTTAGACTCCGCGTATAAATACGCGCTGGACCAGTACACCGGAGAGAAATGGCAGGAGACAGTTGACTATCTCGAGGTCTCTCTCCGGTTGTACCGGCTGCTCAGGGACAGCGAGGCCTTCTGCAACCTCAACTGCAGCTCTGTGCGGCTGGACAACGAGGAGAAGTTTACCGACTTCCCGGAGCTGCGTGTGTTCGGTAACGTTATGAAGAGGGCGCAGTGTTTGAAGCGGTGCAAACAGGGGCTGCCTGCCTTCAGACAGACCATGCCCAGCCGCGACACCGTGGAGGAATTCGAGAAACGGGAACCCTATAAATACCTGCAGTTCGCCTACTTCAAAGTGAGTTAAATCAATTTGAGAGAGAGTGAAATCAGTGCTGCTCTCTGCAGTATTTATTTTGTATTTAACCTTTATTTTCAATGGAGCTGGAGAGGGTTGATCAACATCTCTGGACGAGCTGCCTGTCTTTCAAAACAAATATAGCTGAATGCATTTGGTATATAAAGAAGTACTTGTATTTTAGATAAAATACATTGTGTGTGTTTTCAATAACTTTTAGAACTGTGTAATTAACAGGCACTCCTCTGCACTCTGTTATACTACTGTACTCTATTGAGTAATGTGTTCTCTCGCGGGGTTGTGACGCCCTCATACGTGCCACGACATGGGGGGGGGGGGGGGGGGGGGTTAAGCTAAGGAAGAGGGTCCTGTGCTTTTGTTCACTTTATATGAGTAGCCTGTGTGTGTGTATAACTGTCTCCTCTCTCCTCCAGTCTGATAACCTGGCCAAGGCAGTGTCTGCAGCCCACACCTTCCTCCTGAAGCACCCTGATGATGAGATGATGCAGAGGAACATGGCCTACTACAGGAGTCTACCTGGGGCTGAGGAACACCTCACAGACCTGGAGACCAAGTCCTACGAGGTACACACTCACTTGCATACACACACGTACACTTGCATACACACATGTGCAAACACGCACGTGCACATCAAGAATAAACTGGTCTAATTCTCTCCATGGGTGGGGTTAGAGGTGGTTAGGGGACCAGACTGAAGTCACAGGAGGATGTAAAGGCTTTCAGAGCTCTAAGACTAAACATGTACAGTTGAAGTGGGAGGTTTACATACACTTAGGTTTGAGTAATTAAAACTCGTTTTTCAACCACTCCGCAAATTTATTTTTTACAAACTATAGTTTTGGCAAGTCATGACACAAGTAATTTTTCCAACAATTGTTTACAGACAGATTATTTCACTTATAATTCACCGTATCACAATTCCAGTAGGTCAGAAGTTTACATACACTAAGTTGACTGTGCCTTTAAACAGCTTGGAAAATTCCAGAAAATGATGTCATGGCAATTGAATCAATTGGAGGTGTACATGTGGATGTATTTCAAGGCCTACCTTCAAACTCAGTGCCTCTTTGCTTGACATCATGGGAAAATCTAAAGAAATCAGCCAAGACCTCAGAAAAATTATTGTAGACCTCCACAAGTCTGGTTCATCCTTGGGAGAAATTTCCAAACGCCTGAAGGTACCACGTTCATCTGTACAAACAATAGTACGCAAGTATAAACACCATGGTACCACGCAGCCGTCATACCGCTCAGGAAGGAGACGTGTTCTGTATCCTAGAGATGAACGTACTTTGGTGAGAAAAGTGCAAATCAATCCCAGAACAACAGCAAAGGACCTTGTGAAGATGCTGGAGGAAACAGGTACAAAAGTATCTATATCCACAGTAAAACAAGTCGACATAAGCTGAAAGGTCGCTCAGCAAGGAAGAAGCCACTGCTCCAAAACCGCCATAAAAAGCCAGACTACTGTTTGCAACTGCACATGTGGACAAATATCGTACTTTTTGGAGAAATGTCCTCTGGTCTGATGAAACAAAAATAGAACTGTTTGGCCATAATGACCATCGTTATGTTTGGAGGAAAAGGGGGTTGCTTGCAAGCCGAAGAACACCATCTCAACCGTGAAGGACAGGGGTGGCAGCATCAGGCTGTGGGGGTGCTTTGCTGCAGGACGGACTGGTACACTTCACAAAATAGATGGCATCATGAGGAAGGAAAATGATGTGGATATATTGAAGCAACATCTCAAGACATCAGTCAGGAAGTTAAAGCTTGGTCGCAAATGGGTCTTCCAAATGGACAATGACCCCAAGCATACTTCCAAAGTTGTGGCAAAATGGCTTAAGGACAACAAAGTCAAGGTATTGGAGTGGCCATCACAAAGGCCTGACCTCAATCCTATAGAACATTTGTGGAGGCCTACATTGAGCAAGGAGGCCTACAAACCTGATTAAGTTACACCAGCTCTGTCAGGAGGAATGTGCCAAAATTCACCCAACTTATTGTGGGAAGCTTGTGGAAGGCTACCCGAAACGTTTGACCCAAGTTTAACAATTTAAAGGCAATGCTACCAAATACTAATTGAGTGTATGTAAACTTCTGACCCACTGGGTGTCATGATTAAACTGGATTTGAACCCAAATGCAGACAACTACACAGAGCCAGAGAAGGTTTAACAGGTTTATTTACAATGTTCAATTTGTCCAGGTTTCCAATAATAGGGGAAGAGCAAGTCCAGGTTACAGGGAGGGTAACAGATCCAGGTCAGAGCAGGTGTGGTACCGTAATGTCCTAGTGTCCGTGGTGAGTCCAAAAGGGAGGTCCGGTAGTGGAAAGCAGGATGGTGGTGGCAGGAGTGAAGCGGAGGCAGGAGTCAGGTTCCAATAATCTGTGGCACAGGAGAAAAGTAAATAGAACAGGCCAAAAAACACAAAGAGCGAAAACAAACAGGTTGAGTCGGCAGCGAGACTAACATGGTCGTCTTGACTATGATCTGACGTTGAGTGGCAAGTTTGACTGGGTCTTAAAGGCTGAGGTGATTATGGTAATGAGCTGCAGCTGGAACCCTGACTCCCGCACACCAGACTTCACTCCTGCAATCAAGGACAGACAGAGGGGAGGGGAAGAGCAGAGAGAGCTACCTAGCAGCAGTAGGCCTAACAGTACCCCCCCCCCCCCCCCCTACGGACGCCACCTGGCGGCCGACAGGGTTTATCGGGATGTAACCGATGAAATTCACGGACCAGAGCAGGATCCACAATGAAGCTCCTGGGCACCCAGCAACGTTCCTCAGGACCATAACCCTCCCAATCCACCAGGTACTGGAAACCACGACCCCGGCGGCGAACATCCAGAAGTCGCCGGACAGTGTAGACAGGACCCACACCCACGATCCTGGGCGGAGGAGGGGGACGAGAGGGCGGGCACAGAGGGCTGACAGACACAGGCTTGATCTGGGACACATGAAAAGTGGAATGAACCCGTAGGGAGGCAGGAAGCTGTAGTTTAACCGCGCAGGGGTTAACAATAGACAGTATCTTGAACGGTCCTATAAAACGCGGCGCCATCTTCTTAGATTCTACTTTCAATGGAAGATCACGTGACTTAAGCCATACCTCTTGACCAGGAGAGTAACCGGGAGCCTGGGACCGGTGACGGTTGGCTTGCCTCTGCATGTACGACGAAGCTCGGGGACAGAGCTACCCTGGCCTTCCTCCAGACCTTGAAGCAGCGGCGCATGTGGGACTGCACCGAGGGTACCGCCAGTTCCCTCTCTTGAGAAGGGAACAGGGGAGGTTGATAACCCAGAGCACACAGAAAGGGAGACAAACCAGAGGAAGCGTTAGTCAAGGTGTTTATGAGCATATTCCACCCAGGGGAGCATGGAGCTCCAAGACCCAGGGTTAGACCCTGTGACACAGCGGAGAGTGGTCTCCATCTCCTGGTTCGCTCTCTCGGCTTGCCCGTTGGTCTGGGGGTGATATCCAGAGGACAGGCTGGATGTGATGCCCAAAGCTTTACAGAAAGCTTTCCATACCTGGGAGACAAACTGGGGACCCCTGTCAGAGACAATATCAGTGGGCAGACCATGAGAGCAGAAGACATGTTCAACCAAAATATCAGCCGTCTCTCTGGCAGTGGGCAGTTTAGGTAGGGCCAAAAAATTAGCAAACTTAGAAAAACGATCACAGTAAGAATGACAGTCTTTCCAGATGAGGGGGGAAGTCCAGTGACAAAATCCAAAGCAATGTGGGACCAGGGCCGGCTGGGTATTGGCAGAGGTCGTAGATGACCAGCGCTGGCCTGGGTGGAGTTCTTACTTCGTGCACATACCGTACAAGCAGCAATGAAGGCTCGAGTGTCTGCCTCCATCCTGGGCCACCAGAACTTCCGTCGCACAAAGTCAAGGGTCCGAGTAACTCCAGGGTGACAGGTAAGGGGAGACGAGTGAGCCCACTGAAGTACCTGGGAGCGAACAGACTCAGGGACAAACAACCGGTTAGGAGGACCGCTCCCAGGGTCAGCTTGATGATGTTGAGCCTGTCTAACAATCCCTTCGATGTCACATATAATGGCCGCAATACTGCAGGTAGGAGGCAAGATGGGTTCAGGGTTACTACCAGTATCAACAGCAGAATGAACACGAGACAGGGCGTCAGGCTTGACGTTGCGTGACCCAGGACGGTAAGACAGAGAAAATTGAATCTCCCAAAAATAATGCCCACCTGGCTTGACGGGGATTGAGCTGCTTAGCTGACTGGATGTATGCCAGATTCTTGTGATCCGTCCAAACGATGAAGGGTTGTTCCGCCCCCTCCAACCAATGCCGCCACTCCTCGAGAGCCAGCTTAACGGCGAGCAGTTCACGATTGCCAACATCATAATTCCTCTCTGCCTGAGAAAGCTTCCGTGAAAGAAAAGCGCAGTGATGCAGTTTGTTATCTTCAGGAGAACGTTGTGACAACACCGCACCTACCCCAGTGTCGGATGCATCCACCTCCACGACAAACTGGCGGTCTGGGTCCGGCTGCATCAGAATGGGAGCCGAGGCGAAGCGATGTTTCAGTTCTTCAAACGCTGATTCGGCCCCTTCATTCCAAGCGAATGGTAGTGAGATGGAGGTGAGAGCGGTGAGTGGTGCCGCAATGCGGCTGTAGTCCTTGATGAACCTCCTGTAGAAGTTCGCAAACCCCAGGAATCGTTGAAGTTGTTTGCGGGTGGAGGGGGCTGGCCAGTCCGTGACTGCAGAGATCTTAGCTGGGTCCATCCGCAACTCCCCCTGAGCTATTATGTAACCCAAAAAAGAGGTCTCAGACACATGAAATTCACATTTCTCCATCTTCACAAATAGTTTGTTCTCCAACAACCTTTGCAACACCTGGCGCACATGCAGTTCATGTTCCTGGGAGGACTCTGAGAAAATCAGGATATCATCCAGATAGACAAAAACTAAACGATTCAACATGTCCCGAAGGACATCATTCACGAGTGCCTGAAAAACAGCAGGGGCATTAGACAAACCAAAAGGCATGACCAGATACTCAAAATGTCCCAAGGGTGTGTTGAAGGCAGTCTTCCATTCATCACCTTTACGAATGCGCACCAGGTGATACGCATTTCGTAGATCCAGTTTCGTAAAGATGGCAGCACCATGAAGGAGGGGAAAAGCAGAATTAATCAAAGGCAGAGAATACTTGTTCTTAATGGTGATGTTGTTAAGTCCACGGTAATCAATACAGGGTCTGAGGGTCTTATCCTTCTTTCCAACAAAAAAGAATCCCGCTCCTACAGGTGACGAGGAAGGACGAATAATAGCTGCCGCCAAGGAGTCCCGCATGTAGTTCTCCATAGCCTCCGTCTCCGGGCGGGAGAGATTGTACAGGCGACTGTTAGGGAGAGGGGCTCCTGGCTGGAGGTCAATGGCGCAGTCGTATGGCCGGTGAGGTGGAAGAGAAGTAGCCGTGTGTTTGCAGAAAACGGATGCCAGGTCATGATACACGTCAGGAACAGCAGAGAGATCCATGGACTCCAGTGGAGGTTGAGGCACAGTGCTGGCAGGGGTCTGAGCAGAACACAAACAGTTCACATGACAAAATGTGCTCCATGAAACAATTCTACCTGTCACCCAATCAATGTGTGGATTCTGTCTTATGAGCCAGGGGGATACCAAGGACCGGGGGGTCTGTGGGCAGTCAATTATGTGAAATTGAATGCTCTCCTGATGATTACCCGACACTCTGAGACAAACAGGGACAGTCTGATGAGTAATACGGGTCAACAAATGTAATTGTCCATTTAGACCCTTAGCCTGCAGCGGACGGTCCATAGGAACAGTCTCTAACTCCATTTGTTGAGCCAACTCTCGATCCAAAAAGCGTTCATCGGCACCAGAGTCAACCAGCGCACTAACAGGGAAATCCTGGACCTGCCACTGGAGGGATGCCTGGAGCAGAATGCGGGGAGAAGAGGAAGAATCCGCTGTTCGGCTCACCAAAACTTCTCCCATTAATGATGAGCCGGCCCTTTTCCCGGACGAACTGGGCAGGAAGGAACGAAATGACCAGCTTCTCCACAATACAGGCAGGCCCCGAACCTGAATACGACGTGCACGCTCCTCTGAGGACAACCGTGCACGACCCACCTCCATGGCTTCGGGTTCAGTGCTCCTCGTATCGACTCGGGAAGACTCGGCCCTCTCCGTAGGGAAGAGGCGGGGAGGAGTTGGTTGACGACAGACAGGTTGCTTGGAACTAACACTCCTCTCCCGGCGGCGCTCCCGAATCCGATTATCCAACCGGATGGTGAGTGAAATAAGGTTATCCAGCGTAGGCGATTCATCATATGACACCAATTCATCCTTCAAAGTCTCAGACAAAGCATTAATGAACACTCCTTGTAATGCCTCGTCATTCCAACCACTCACTGCCGCTAACGTCCGAAACTCCACTGCCATCTCCGCCACACTGCGAGACCCCTGCCGAAGAGACAACAACCGTTTAGCAGCCTCCTTGCCCCGTACGGGGTGGTCGAAAACCTTCCTCATCTCAGTGGTGAAGGCAACGTAAGCGTTGCAAATGTCCGACTGACTCTCCCAGACCGCGGATCCCCAGGAACGAGCGGAACCGCTAGTAGAGTTGATAAGGTAGGCAATACGGGCTCTCTGAGGCGTAGGTGAGGGGCTGTTGTTCAAAGACTAGCGAGCATTGAGTCAAAAAATCACCACAGGTTCCCATGTTCCCGTCATAGCGCTCTGGAGCAGGAACAAAAGGCTCTCTGATCTGGGCTGGAGGAGCAGTTTGTATGCCATGAACGAGGGGTGCATTATTAATTTGGGTAGTAAGGACAGACACTTGATGGGTGAGTAATTGAATCTGATTAAACAGCATCTGACTGTTCTCAGAAATAGTCTTAAAACAAAGTATCATGTTGGCCAAGTAAAATGCCCTGATTGGCTATGGCAGTCCGAATTTGAGTGCACTCTGGGTTAGTATCCGAGCTACAGTCTGCTGGGTTCATCATGGTCAGATCATACTGTCATGATTAAACTGGATTTGAACCCAAATGCAGACAACTACACCGAGCCAGAGAAGGTTTAACAGGTTTATTTTACAATGTTCAATTTTCCAGGTTTCCAATAATAGGGGAAGAGCAAGTCCAGGTTACAGGGAGGGTAACAGATCCAGGTAGAGCAGGTGTGGTACCGTAATGTCCTAGTGTCCGTGGTGAGTCCAAAAGGGAGGTCCGGTAGTGGGAAAGCAGGATGGCGGTGGCAGGAGTGAAGCGGAGGCAGGAGTCAGTTCCAATAATCTGTGGCAACAGGAGAAAAGTAAATAGAACAGGCCAAAAAACACAAAGAGCGAAACAAACAGGTTGAGTCGGCAGCGAGACTAACATGGTCGTCTTGACTATGATCTGACGATGAGTGGCAAGTTTGACCGTGGTCTTAAAGCTGAGGTGATTATGTAATGAGCTGCAGCTGGAACCCTGACTTCCGCACACCAGACTTCACTCCTGCAATCAAGGACAGGGGGAAGGCAGGGCTACCTAGCAGCCGTTCTTTAAAATAAAAGTGGTGATGCCAACTGGACTAAGACACGGAATTTGTACTAGATTTTAAATGTCAGGAATGTGAAAAACAGAGTGAAATGTATTTGGCTAAGGTGTTATGTAAACTTTTCCGACTTCAACGGTACCTTAGCCACTTATCAAAAGGATAATTGGCTGAGGGTCGCAGTGGGTGGGTTAGGGAAGCTCTGAAGTGCTGCACAGCTACAGGTTCTGGCTCTGGTGAAATAAATCTGGTCTAATCTAGATAACATTATGTTGTGGTGTCGTATCAATGTGGTGTGTTGTTGTTCAGACGTTGGTGTTGCGGCAGTGCGGGGGTATACGGTGTGATAACTACCGTACCTCAGTGTAAGGACATGGGCGGGATCTCAGGGAGTTCTTCAAGGTATACGGACGAATGTCTGGCTGCTTCAGAAGGAGGCCAGGGAGGTAAAGACTTCCAAAGAGTTCGACCCCTCCAGTGCGGTGAGTATCTTGTGTCAACCCTCCATCTCAGGCTAGCCTATACTCCATGTCTTTTACCAGTCCAACACAGAGATTTGGACCTGTCAAAAGGTGATGTAGACCAATAATGGATTTAGTTGGCAGTGTTGATTTATGATTTCTGTTGATCATCTTGAAAGGTCACTATGATGATAAAATCCCCCCCCCCCCCCCGACACATTCTCTATATCTCCCATTCTCCTCCCACCTTCCCTCACAGACCATACACAGAGGTGTTGGAGAGGGAGGAGTGAGGTGTGAGGCCAGCAGAGATGAATCCTGTTGTTGGAGGATCATCGTAGAGAAGTTGATAGCAACCATGTACCACTAACTACGTTCGCCTATTTACAACGTGATGTCATATTACTGCATTGCGATTGATTACATATACAAAATGTTATAACGGTATTATTAACATGCATGGTTATATCAGTCTTTATGACAACGAGTATTCTAGTGAGTACGTTAACATATTATTACCAAAAATGTATAGTTAGGCCTTAGTGTTATATGTGGTTATACACACACACACACACACACACACCACACACACACACACACACACACACACACACACACACTGACTCTGTCATTGCCCCCCAGTGCAATGACTGAGAACGCGGTTTCCCTGTGTAACCAGCTACATGTTGTTTGACCCCAGTGATGGAGGTGATGAAGAAACAACGGGGTGTATACAAGACCACAGAGACAAATACGGAATCAGGACGAAGATTTCCTACCTAGATTCGGTAAGGACAACACACACATTAAAGTGAGGGAAAAAAATTAGTGCTTCCCTAACCTGATTTTGTACGTGTGCCCAATGACAAAGAAATGTTCAGCTATAATTTAAGGTAGGTTTATTTGAACAGTGAGCGACAGAATAACAACAAAAAAATCCAGAAAACGCATGTCAAAAAGTTATAAATTGTTTTGCCTTTTAATGGGGAAATAAAGATATTTGACCCCTTTCTCAATCAGAAAGATTTTGGCTCCAGGGGTGTGATACAGGTAACGAGCTGAGATTCGGAACACACTCTTAAAGGGAGTGCTTCCTAATCTCAGTTGTTACCTGATTAAAAGACCTCTCACAGAAGCAAGCACCAATCAGATTCCAAACTCTCCACCATGGCCAAACCAAAGAGCCTCCAAAGGATGTCAGGGACCAAGATTTAAATGTACACAAGGATTGAAATGGGCTACAAAACCTTCGCAGCAGCGGGTGAGATGGTTTGACAAACAGTTGGGTTGCGATTATTGCACATGGCAAAAACAACCAAAAAATACTGTCAATCTCCCTCGGCATGGGGCTCCATGCAAGATCCACCTCGTGGAGGTGCAATGATCATGAGAACGGTGAGGGAATCAGCCCAGAACACACGGGAGGATTGTCTAAATGATCTAAGGCAGTGGAACCATAGTAAACCCAAAGAAGGAAAACAATTGGTAATAAACACTACGCCGTGAAGGACTGAAATCCTGCAGCGCACGCAAGGTGATCCCCCCCTGCTCAAGAAAGCACATATACAGGGCTGTCTGAAGTTGGCCAATGAACATCTGAATGGATCAGAGGAGAACTGAGGTGAAAGGTTGTGGTCGATGAGACACCAAAATCGAGCTACTTTGGCATCAACATCAACTCGCCGGTGGAGGCGGAGGCGCTTGCTATGACCCCCAAGAACAACATACCCAAAGTCAAACATGGAGGTGGAAACATATGCGTTGGGGTTTTTTCTGATAAGGGGACAGGGAACAACTTCCACGCAGCAACGGGACGTGGACGGGGCCATGTACCGTCAAATTGGGTGAGAACCCTCCTTCCTCAGCCAGGGCATGAAAGAGGGCGTAGATGGGTATTCAGCATGACATGACCCAAAACACACGGGCCAAGGCAACCAACAAACACAGGAGTGCTCAAGAAGAAGACACAATTAAGGTACTGGAGTGGCCTAGCCAGTCTCCAGCCTTAAGCTCATAGAATAATTGTGGGGGAGCTGAAGCGTGCGAGTTGCAAATTATTGGAGAAGACTGCAAAGAGGCGTGGACAAAAATCCCTCCTGAGATGTGTGCAAACCTGGTGGCCAACTACAAGAACGCTGACCTTTGTGATGCCAACAGTGTTTGCCACAAGTACTAAGTCAGTTTTGCAGATGTTGTAAATACTTATTCCCGCATTAAATGCAACTCAATTTATAACATTTTTACACATGCGTGTTTTTTTCATGGATCTTTGTTTGTCTTCTGTCTCTCACTGGTCAATAAAAACTACCATATAAAATATCGATGATTAATGTATTTGCAGTGGGCCAAACGGACAAAAATCAGGCAGGGGATCCAATACTTTTTCCCTGACTGTATCATACAGACATATTCAGCACACACGCACACACCAAAACTGCTGCGGTCCGTATCTCCGCATGCAGGTGATTTGGCCATGTCATTGATTGTTGTTTTAACCAGTTGACTGAATTGCTGAGGTCTTCCTTGGGGTGTTGTTGCGGATAAGCTACCTAGCAGCAGTAGGCCTAACACTGGGAATATGATGAAATAAATAAAAGCTGAAATAAACCATTCTCTCTACTATTATTCGGACATTTCACGTTCTTAAAATAAAGTGGTGATCCTAACTGACCTAAGACACGGAATTTTTACTAGGATTAAATGTCAGGAATTGTGAAAAACAGAGTTGAAATGTATTTGGCTAAGGTGTATGTAAACTTCCGACTTCAACTGTACCTTAGCCACTTTCTCAAAAGGATAATTGGCTGAGGTCTCAGTTGGGCTGGGTTAGGGAGCTCTGAAGTGCTGCACAGATACAGGTTCTGCTCTGGTGAAATAAATCTGGTCTAATCTAGATAACATTTATGTTGTGTTTCTGTATCAATGTGTGTGTGTTGTTGTTCCAGACGTTGTTTGTGCGAGCAGTGCGGGCGTATAACGGTGATAACTACCGTACCTCAGTGTCAGACATGGAGCTGGCTCTCAGGGATTTCTTCAAGGTATACGACGAATGTCTGGCTGCTTCAGAAGGAGCCAGGGAGGTTAAAGACTTCAAAGACTTCTACCCCTCCATTGCTGGTGAGTATCTTTCTTTCAACCTCTCCATCTCAGGCTAGCCTATCCCTCCATGTCTTTTACCAGTCCAACACAGAGATTTTGTACCTGTCCAAAGGTTGATTTAGACCAATGGATTTTAGTTTGGGCAGTGTTGATTTATGATTTCTGTTGATCATCTTGAACAGGTCACTCATGATGATAAATCCCCCCCCCCCCCCGACACCTCTTCTATCTCTCCCATTCCTCCTCCCCCCTCTCCCTCCCAGACCACTACACAGAGGTGTTGGAGAGGAAGGTGAGGTGTGAGGCAGAGCTGACTCCTGTGGTTGGAGGATTCATCGTAGAGAAGTTTGTAGCAACCATGTACCACTACCTACAGTTCGCCTATTACAAACGTGAGTGTCATATTACTGCATTGCTATTACATATACAACTGTTATAACTGTTATTATTACACATGCATGTGTTATATCAGTCTTATGACACGAGTGAGTACGTTACTACATTATTATTACAAACATGTATATTTAGGACTTCTGTGTTCTATGTGGTTATACACACACACACACACACACACACACACACACACACACACACACACACACACACACACTGACTCTGTCATTGCCCCCCCAGTGAATGACCTGAAGAACGCGGTTCCCTGTGTAACCAGCTACATGTTGTTTGACCCCAGTGATGAGGTGATGAAGAACAACGTGGTGTATTACCAGTACCACAGAGACAAATACGGACTCAGCGACGAAGATTTCCTACCTAGATCGGTAAGACACACACACATACAGTGAGGGAAAAAAGTAGTTGATCCCCTACTGATTTTGTACGTTTGCCCACTGACAAAGAAATGATCAGTCTATAATTTTAATGGTAGGTTTATTTGAACAGTGAGAGACAGAATAACAACAAAAAAATCCAGAAAAACGCATGTCAAAAATGTTATAAATTGTTTTGCATTTTAATGAGGGAAATAAGTATTTGACCCCCTCTCAATCAGAAAGATTTCTGGCTCCCAGGTGTCTTTTATACAGGTAACGAGCTGAGATTAGGAACACACTCTTAAAGGGAGTGCTCCTAATCTCAGTTTGTTACCTGTATAAAAGACCTCTCCACAGAAGCAAGCAATCAATCAGATTCCAAACTCTCCACCATGGCCAAAACCAAAGAGCTCTCCAAGGATGTCAGGGACAAGATTGTAAATGTACACAAGGCTTGAATGGGCTACAAAACCATCGCCAAGCAGCTTGGTGAGAAGGTGACAACAGTTGGTGCGATTATTTGCAAATGGAAAAACACAAAATAACTGTCAATCTCCCTCGGCCTTGGGCTCCATGCAAGATCTCACCTCGTGGAGTTGCAATGATCATGAGAACGGTGAGGAATCAGCCCAGAACTACACGGGAGGATCTTGTCAATGATCTCAAGGCAGCTGGGACCATAGTCAACCAAGAAAACAATTGGTAAAACACTACGCCGTGAAGGACTGAAATCCTGCAGCGCCCGCAAGGTCCCCCTGCTCAAGAAAGCACATATACAGGGCTGTCTGAAGTTTGCCAATGAACATCTGAATGATTCAGAGGAGAACTGGGTGAAAGTGTTGTGGTCAGATGAGACCAAAATCGAGCTCTTTGGCATCAACTCAACTCGCCGTGTTTGGAGGAGGAGGAATGCTGCCTATGACCCCAAGAACACCATCCCCACAGTCAAACATGGAGGTGGAAACATTATGCTTTGGGGGTGTTTTTCTGCTAAGGGGACAGGACAACTTCACTGCATCAAAGGGACGATGGACGGGGCCATGTACCGTCAAATCTTGGGTGAGAACCTCCTTCCCTCAGCCAGGGCATTGAAAATGGGTCGTAGATGGGTATTCCAGCATGACAATGACCCAAAACACACGGCCAAGGCAACAAAGGAGTGGCTCAAGAAGAAGCACATTAAGGTCCTGGAGTGGCCTAGCCAGTCTCCAGACCTTAATCCCATAGAAAATCTGTGGAGGGAGCTGAAGGTTCGAGTTGCCAATGACTTGGAGAAGATCTGCAAAGAGGAGTGGAACAAAATCCCTCCTGAGATGTGTGCAAACCTGGTGGCCAACTACAAGAAACGTCTGACCTTTGTGATTGCCAACAAGTGTTTTGCCACCAAGTACTAAGTCATGTTTTGCAGAGGTGTCAAATACTTATTTCCCTCATTAAAATGCAAATCAATTTATAACATTTTTAACATGCGTTTTTCAGGATTTCTTTGTTTTTATTCTGTCTCTCACTGTTCAAATAAACCTACCATTAAAATTATAGACTGATCATGTCTTTGTCAGTGGGCAAACGTACAAAATCAGCAGGGGATCAAATACTTTTTTCCCTGACTGTATCATACAGACATATTTCAGCACACACGCACACACACATACTGCATGCGTGTCCAGTATCTCCGCATGCAGGTTATTTGGCCCATGTCATTGATTGTTGTTTTAACCAGTTGACTGAATGCTGAGGTCTTCATCTGGGTTTGTTTGTCGATGTTGATCTGACGTGTTTTGTGTGTGTTTTAGGAGGCAGTACGGTACTTGAACCAGACCACCATGCAGCTAGAGATGCTGGAGTTCTCCAGACAACACCTAGCGAGCGATGACGAGGTACGTGTGTGTGTGAGAGAGAGAGTGTGTGTGTCTCCATTTGTGTCTCTAGTGTCACTATAGTTGGGTCTTACAGTACATGTGTCCAGAAGTGGGTCTTGGTTCTTAGCAGGGCTCTCTATGTAATCTTTCTGTAAACTAGTGAAAACCCCCAGATTCCTCTCAGATCACATGACCTGTGTCCAGCAGTACAATGTGACCAGTGTTTACCAGACTGCCGTATCCGACCTCACCACAGGGAGGCGCTGATCACTCACATGCTGCTCACTCACAACAACATAGATGTAGTACCAGAGTTGTTAACTTGGGGGCAGCATGACTCGTCTCTAGATAAGAGTGGCCAATCCTCCTCCTGGAGAACCACTCTACTGCAGGATTTTGCGCCAGCCCAACTCTAACACACTAATCAGCTGTTCATCAGGACCTTGATTAGCTAAATCAGGTGTGTTAGAGCAGGTCTGGAACTGAAACCTGTACACCCAGTAGTTCCCCAGGACTGGAACTGGAGACCCAATTGGTGGCTCTGTCTGATCAGAGTGTAGTTAGTCTTTATTTACACTGCATATCCATCAGGAAACCATAGAGAATGGTTCCCCCTGGTTACAGTCTTCAGGTTCAATACTAACTCTGTGATGTGTGTGTACAGGGGGAAGTGATGGAGTTTCTAGATGAGTTCCTGGATGGAAAATAAAGAAGGAAAAAAAGATATAGAGAAAGAAAGAAAAGTCTGAACTAAATGACAGAAACAAGCGACGGCAGGTTTTCCCAGCATGCCGCCGGGCCTTGGCTCCTCCCACTGGGTCGTATTTATTCGGAGGTTCCGGAGGCTCTGATTGGCTAAAAGTAGTTGGATTATTTTATGTGCATTTAATATGACCTTTTAAATAATGTTTTTTTTTATAGTTCTGGATCATGTGCACTAACATGTACAGTGCAGAGGTACGGACAGTGATTGATATTGTGGTATTAAATTGGTGATGATAATGATAAAAATAATAATGTGGCCATTCTCTGTTATGTATGTTCACTCCCCTCTGTCTATTGTCCATGTTTTTAATCAAACTGTTCACTGTCTTACAAGGAAAGATATAAAGATATTCACATGGTTCTTTAACAATAAAATCACATGGTGAAACCAAGCCCTCTTTAGTGATCATTGCTTTCTGTTTAGTATGATGTTATTAAAGTCATAGTGACAGAGAATAGAGGAGAATAGAAAGCTTGACTACACACACACACAAATGTAATCTGTTAGAGTTACTATTTACCTGTCCCAAAATGTAATCAGTAAAGTATTTTTTGGATTACCCAAACTAAGTAACGTAATCAGATTATTTCCAGTTACTTTTGGATTACTTTCCCATTAAGAGGCGTTAGAAGAAGACAAAAATAATCCATCAAACACATTTGGTGTGTCATAGTGGTCTCCGACTTGTGGTCAGAGTCGCTCAGGTGGAACAAACTTAAACTTGCTACTTTTTCAATGCGGAATTGAATGTCATTGAAAAAACAGAAAGGTATCATCTGAATGTATAAGTAATCCAATAAGTAATCATTCCGTTTTTTTAAAGTACTGTATATGTAATCTGATTACAACATGTTTTCTGGTAATGTAACTGATTACAGTTACCGTTTTTTTGTAATCAGTTACTCCACAACAGTGCTTCTCAATTATTTTCTGTTACGCCCCCCTAGGAAGAAGTAAACATTTCGCGCCCCCCAACTCTCCGCCGCGACTGTAAATAGTATAATTTGTCTATAAAATTGTTATAAGTACACCTCTGCATAACATTGTATCCTTATTAACATTAAAGAAAACAAAAAAAGAAAAAAGAAAGAAATATAGATCAACTTACAACAAAGAATAACTTTATTAACATTGTTTTTTAGTCTGTAACAGAAAATACTTAAAGTGCATCAATTTGCCTGAAATTAAAAAACAATTTAAAATCCTTATTTAAACTGTAAATATTTTTTGACCATCTGATACTGAAAAAATAAAATAAAATATAATCAATAAATAATAATAAATTCAAATTGATCAGCAACATTAACTCAGGAGCACAATATATGAAACACTTTGACCTATAAAACAAAAATGAATAAAACAATTTGTGCTGATTTTTTAAAAATCAAAATGAGGAAGTCAGGATTAATGGCTACAATGAGCACGTTTTGCAGTGCACAGCTTTTCGAAGCAGGGTTTGAAGCATGATACTGCAACTCTCAGCTCCTGCTGAATGTTTAGCTGGGACCTGTACTTGGTCTTCAGTGCAGCAACAGCAGAGAAGCCAGTCTCACAAAGATAAGATGTTGCAAAAGGAAGAAGAATGCCCATGGCCCTCTGCCCTAAGAGTGGATACTGCCTCTCTACACTCAGCCAGAATTCACTCAGTGTCTGTGATGTGAACCTCATTCTCAATGTGGAGTCAGACGTCATATCAATGAACTGGTCCTCCTCTGCAGAGCTGAAACCAGTTGGAGCTGGTGCATTGAATGGATCTCTCACCCAGTCATATTGGGAACTGTTTTCAGGGAAGTACTTTTTAAAGAATCCCATCAGTGATGAAATATGCTCCTTAATATATGGAATCACTGAGGTGGCATCATAGTCAGTAGTGTCAACAAATTCATGCAGGGTCTCAAATGAATCAGTATTTCCTTCATCAAGTTGCCTGCCCCACATTGCAAGCTTTCGAGTGAAAGAGCTGATCTTGTCTGTGACCTGAGGGAGGTGTTTATCTTTCCCTTGAAGCTGTAGATTTAGTTAATTTAGCTTTCCAAATATATCACTCAGGTAGGCCAGCTTTGCCAGGAAGTTCTCATCACTAAATTTTTCTGCGAGGTCATACTTGTGCTCCTGCTCCGAAAACATTCTTATCTGCTCTCTGAGCTCAAAAACTCAGGACAATACTTTTCCTCGTGACAGCCACCTTGCTTCACTGTGAAACAGCACAGCTTGATGTTCAGCTCCCATCTCCTCACAGATAGCAGAGAAGACTCTTGTTTTTAGTGGTCTGGTCTTTATAAAATTGACTACACCTACAATGTCAGTCATAACCTCACTTAATTCAGAGGAAAGGTGCCTTGATGCCAGTGCTTCTCTGTGTATAATACAGTGTGTCCACTCAGCATTAGGTGAGGCCTTCTTGATGAGTGCCCGAAGTCCTTTTCTCATCCCTGCCATGGTCTGTGCACCATCACTGCAAACACCAATGCAGTTCTCCCACTTTAGCCCATTCTCAGTCAGGAAGCAGTTCAGCATTTTGAATAGCTCTTCAGCTGTGGCTCTGTCTCTGACATATTTACAAAAAAGTAGATCCTCACACAGGGAGTTTGTCATGTCAAAACGTACATAAGCGATAAACAAACAGTCTTTGTTGCTGTCAGTTGCTTCATCGAACTGTAAGGCAAAACGTTTGTCTTTGAGTTTATCTACCAGCTGTTCTTTAAGATCGTTAGCAATGTCATTTATACGTCTGGCGACAGTATCATTGGACAGAGGGATAGTTTTTTATTTTTGCAGCACTTGCGTCATCCAGCATGACAGAGACCATGTCTAATGCTGCAGGCAGTATCAGCTCCTCTGCTATGGAGTTTTTTTTTGCTGCACTGAGCAATTTGGTACGCCACCTTATATGATGCTAACAGTGCTCGCTGGTTCACTGAAGTAGCATTCACAAAGCGGGACGATTGTTGGCAATATTCTGCACGTTTTCGCTGAAAAAACTCAAGCGGCTTAAGCGTGATTGGGGTGTAATGTCTTTAAGTGACGCCTTAATATATTTGGCTTCATGCTGTCCGCTGCCAACATTTTTAGACACAGTAAACATACCGGTCTTTCCTCGTCTCCCACCGTAGTCACTGTGAAGCCAAGCGCTACATACGCTTCGTCATATTTCCTCGTCTTAGCTTTCGGGAGACTTACGTTTGTCTCATTATCTCCGTCTCTCTCCGCCTTTCTTTTCATCCCTGTTAAATATTTTTCCATGGTGTCTCTTAAGGGTTTGTTATCTGCACTTCATATCTCCTGCTCTGTGCTGTGTGCTCTTGTTCGGTGCAAAAAAAACCCTACTCCCTGCGGCAAAAAAAAAGCATGTTCCACGGGGTCACACGCGCCCCCTATTCTGTCTCTCACTGTTCAAATAATCCTACCATTAAAATTATAGACTGATCATGTCTTTGTCAGTGGGCAAAAGTACAAAATCAGCAGGGGATCAAATACTTTTTTCCCTCACTGTATGGCAAAGCTATTCTTCATAGTGCCAGTGAATTGAAGTTGAACATTGCATCAGTTTAATTAGGCCTATGTGCAATAAAAAGTATTGTGCCTATAGCTTATTTAATGAAACCCTGGCTGGCTGTTTATGTCCTAGGTCAGGGCTCTCCAGCCCTGGTCCTGGAGAGCTACCTTCCTGTAGGTTTTCGGTCCAACCACAGTTGTAAGTAACCTGATTCAGTTGATCAACCAGCTATTTATTGAATCAGATGAGCTAGATTAGGGTTGGAGTGAAAACCTACAGGATGGTAGCTCTCCACGAACAGGGTTGGAGAGCACTGTCCTAGGCAATAGATCGCAAAGCAGCATCCCCGCTAATGGCAAGTTCACTTTCTCATCAATAAATACAGTCAAGTGCAAATACGATTCAGCAGCTCAAATCAGCAGGATGGGGGGCATTGTTATTAGGAAGGACGTCTACCATTTGGTATTTGGTATTTTATTAGGATCCCCATTAGCTGTTGCAAAAGCAGCAGCTACTCTTCCTGGGGTCCACACAAAACATGAAACATGACATAGTACAGAACATTAATAGACAAGAACATCTCAAGGACAGAATTACATACATTTTTTAAAGGCACATGTAGCCTACATATCAATACATATACACAAACTATCTAGGTCAAATAGGGGAGAGGCGTTGTGCCGCGAGGTGTTGCTTTATTTGTTTTTTGAAACCAGGTTTGCTGTTTATTTGAGCAATATGAGATGGAACGGAGTTCCATGCAATAATGGCTCTACAGTGAGGTAAAAAAGTATTTGATCCCCTGCTGATTTTGTACGTTTGCCCACTGACAAAGAAATGATCAGTCTATAATTTTAATGGTAGGTTTACTTGAACAGTGAGAGACAGAATAACAACAAAAAAATCCAGAAAAACGCATGTCAAAAATGTTATAAATTGTTTTGCATTTTAATGAGGGAAATAAGTATTTGACCCCCTCTCAATCAGAAAGATTTCTGTCTCCCAGGTGTCTTTTATACAGGTAACGAGCTGAGATTAGGAGCACACTCTTAAAGGGAGTGCTCCTAATCTCATCTTGTTACCTGTATGAAAGACACCTGTCCACAGAAGCAATCAATCAATCAGATTCCAAACTCTCCACCATGGCCAAGACCAAAGAGCTCTCCAAGGATGTCAAGGACAAGATTGTAGACCTACACAAGGCTGGAATGGGCTACAAAACCATCGCCAAGCAGCTTGGTGAGAAGGTGACAACAGTTGGTGCGATTATTCGCAAATGGAAGAAACACAAAATAACTGTCAATCTCCCTCGGCCTGGGGCTCCATGCAAGATCTCACATCGTGGAGTTGCAATGATCATGAGAACGGTGAGGAATCAGCCCAGAACTACACGGGAGGATCTTGTCAATGATCTCAAGGCAGCTGGGACCATAGTCACCAAGAAAACAATTGGTAACACACTACGCCGTGAAGGACTGAAATCCTGCAGCGCCCACAAGGTCCCCCTGCTCAAGAAAGCACATATACATGCCCGTCTGAAGTTTGCCAATGAACATCTGAATGATTCAGAGGAGAACTGGGTGAAAGTGTTGTGGTCAGATGAGACCAAAATCGAGCTCTTTGGCATCAACTCAATTCGCCGTGTTTGGAGGAGGAGGAATGCTGCCTATGACCCCAATAACACCATCCCCACCGTCAAACATGGAGGTGGAAACATTATGCTTTGGGGGTGTTTTTCTGCTAAGGGGACAGGACAACTTTACCACATCAAAGGGGCCATGTACCGTCAAATCTTGGGTGAGAACCTCCTTCCCTCAGCCAGGGCATTGAAAATGGGTCGTGAATGGGTATTCCAGCATGACAATGACCCAAAGCACATGGCCAAGGCAACAAAG